CTAGACTCTCTGCTGCTGAACACTGAATACCCTGTGGGGCTTTTGCTTTCCTGCCCACTTCCTTCTGTTGCTAGCAGGGCTCGAATGCTCACTGATGTCCCAGCCTCAAACGCAGAAAAGCTACTGTTGGCCACTGAGCATCCAGGCGACCTGGCCTCAGTCTGTAGGTCGCTGTCTTTGGAAATCTGTGTGCGTTAAAATTTTTAATTGCAACTATTTATTTATTTATTTATTTAATTTGTGTGTGTGTGTGTGTGTGTGTGTGTGTGTGTGTGTGTGTGTGTGTGTGGTCAGCGGATAACTTGTAGAGGTCAATTCGCTCCTTCTACCACGTGGGTTCCAGACACTGAACTCAGATCAGACTTGGTATAGAGCATCTCTACCTCCCGAGACATTTCATTTGCCCGTTTCTTCTTCTTTTCTTTTCTTTGTTTTTTTTTTTTTAAAAGATTAAAATTTTTACTTTATAAGTGTTTTCAGCTATGTGTGTGTATCACATGTGAGCCCAGTGTCCTCAAGGTTGGAAGAAGGCGTCCAGTGCTTTAGAGCTGGAGTTAACAGCCGGTTGTGAGCCACGATGTGGGTGCAGGGAACTGAACCCTGGTCCTCTGCAAGATGACTCTTGAGTCATCTTTCCAACCCTGTTTCTTAGCTTTTTTGGAGCCCGGATCTTATATATAGTTTGCACTAGCCTCAAAGTCACTTTGTAGGCAAGGTTGGCCTTGAACCCCTGATCCTACCCCCCTCCCCCATACTAAGTACTAGGACTACAGGTGTGTATCACCATGCCTGGTTTGCTTTTGGAATGGGGCAGGGGTACCTACGCCTGTATATGTGCCCTGAGTGTCCTGCTCTATATCTCTGCCTTATTCCTTGGAGACGGTCTTTTCACTGTAGACAGAGCTAGGCTGATAGCTAGCAGGCCCTGGCCATTTTCCAGTCTCTACCCACCTCTTCCCTCACGGTGCTGGGTTTACAGGTCCGTGTTCAACCATAATTTATGTTACTTGGGTTTTGGGTATTTGAACCTAGGCTCTCGTGCTTGCATAGCAAACACACTTGCTGAGCCTGTTGTGAGACAGGATTTTTGTCACGTGTCCCAGGCTGGCCTGGTACCCACTGTCTATCCAAGGCTGGCCTTTCACTCTCAGGCCTCCTGATTCAGCCTTCTAAGTGCTAGGATTCCCAGCACATCTGCCCCTAGAGCCCTCTTCCATTCAGGGCAGGTAAAGATTTGCCCTCCCTGGATTCTGTTGATGTTCCATCGATGGTTGGGTCTGGGTGGCAACTCACTGGCACCTGACCCTGATCCTGCAACTCCCCAAATGCCTACAGTGGTGCTGATCCCTCAAAGAGGAACACATGGCCGAGACCTGTGTAGTTTAAGGAGCTCACAGAGACCCTCTGGTTGGTGCCTCTGTATCATTTAACACGAAATGGCAGAGCAGATATGGTAAGGACCCGATTGCAGGTTTTTTGCTCTCTCTGCTGTCAATGCCTGATTGATTCTAGAACCCTTTTCTTTCCTTTTCTCTTTTCTTTTCTTCCCTCCCCTCCTTCCCTCCCTCCCTCCCTCTCTTCCTTCTTTCCTTCCTCCTTCTTTTTGAGACAGGGTTTCTCTGTATAGCCCTGGCTGTCCTGAACTCGCTCTGTAGACCAGGAAGGCGTGTGCCGGGCTAGAACAGTTTTCAAAGGGAGCATCTGATGAGGGAATCGAAGCCTGTGCGTGATCATTGTATTTTCAGGATTTCTCCGATTTTCCTTCTTCTAATCAGGAACCGTCTCTGGGCTTCTCTCTGGTCCCTTCTCCCAGTCAGCATGGAAGCCACGGGGAGGGGATTGGTGGCACAGGCAGCATCTGATTGGCTGTCCATTTCTTCCTCCTAGCCTTCAGCCAGCTGTCAGGCGAGGGCGCTCCAAGTAAGGAGAAGAGCTTCTGAAGATGCCAGCTGGGGGACCATGGCAGTGGGTGGGAGGCAGGGTGGGTGTGTGTGTAAGCTCCTGCTGGCCTCAATCCCCTGTGGAGTATAAGCCAGCACACACCCAGTACTAATTCTTTCTAATTTCCACTAATTCCAACTAATTTGTTGGAAATTATGGCTCCTTTTGAGAAGATTCATCTTTCCTTGGGAAATTTTCTTATTAATTTATTGACAAGGTTATTCTATGTAACTCAGGCTGGTCTGGAACCCGCTGTGTGGTCCACACTGGATTGGAACTCATGATCCTTCTGTCTCAGCATGCGGAGTGCTGGGGTTACAAGCATCCCTGGGGACTTGTGTCCCTTAAGAGAGCAGGTACAGAGATCATCGCTGGAAAACCCTTACACCTCACTATGGCCCCGTAGCATACATTTCAAACTCCAGCAGCAGGCTATAAAGTGGAATTTGCTTTAGCTGGGCATATGACACTCGCTTATAATCCCAGCACTTAGGAGACTGAAGCTAGAAGGTTGCCACAAATCTTTGGGCTATTTGGGATACAGACGACACCATCTCCCTCCCCACACTCACAAGAAAGACAGATGGGGCAATCTGCATTTGGGAGGTAAAGGCTTAATGATCAGTAGTTCAAGGCCAGCCTTGGGCCACATAGTAAGTTCAAGGCCAGCCAGGGTTACATAAGACTCTCCCCCGCAAAAGAAGAAGCAATAAAAGCAAATGAAACTTTAGTAGGTGTGGTGGTGTAATCATAGAACACAGAAGACAGGAGGAGCAAGAGTTCAAGGTCATCTTCACAGACTTAGTGAGCGTAAGGGCAGCCTGGGCTACATGAGAAATTGCTTGTCTCTACATAAATAAATGGAAAAACAATGAAGACTATGCTTTAATGGGATCCATTATCATACATGCAACCCCTCCTTAGTTTATTCGAGAGCTCAGAGACACAATGTTTGACTCTAGCACCGTATCTCCCACTACACAAAACTGTGCCACAACCCTTCCCTCTAAGAAAGAACAGCCTTAGAGCTGCCATCTTCCTGTGTTGCCGTAACGGTTCACATGAATGCTCTTGGCTGGTCCTCTTGAGAGTGTCAACAAGGCTGAAAAGAGACAAGTGTCAGGGTCTTAGTAGGTCACACTCAGAGCCACAGTCCAGCTTCTCACTGTGAAGACAAAGCCCTTTACACTGTTTAATCTGGAATCATGGATGAGAGAAGAGCTGGGAGCACCCCCGGCCTCATGGACTTGTTAAACCAATGTGGACTGAGCTCAAAGAGCTAGAAAAATGACAGAATAATCTGCTCTCGTCCTCCCGGCACGATTTTGTTGTACTGAGAATCTCAGCAGGCATCATGGACCATGAAGAAGCAAGATTAAAAAGTCATAGGGAGATGGCAAGAGAAATGGCCCAGTGGCTAAAAGCACTGGTTGATCTCCCAAAGGACCTGAGTTTGATTCCTGGCGCTCACACAATGGTTCTGTTAACTTCAGTTCTAGGGGATCTGATATTCTCTTCTGGTCTCCTTGAAGAGTGCATACACACGCCACATACATATGCATGCAGGCAAAGTACCCGGGCCCCCCACGTATTGATCTCAGTGTGATGACTGTAAGATCAACTAGAAAACAAAAACAAAAACAAAAACAAAACACCACAGACAATAATGAGAATAAAGGAAAGCCAAAAGGTAAACATTTGTGGGCTGGTGAGAGGGCGCAGCAGGTAAAGGTGCTTGCTGTTTCTCCTGATGACCTGAGCTCAACCTTTGGAACCCACATGATGGAAGGACAGCCCTGACTCCAGCAAGCTGTCCTCTGACCCCCACAGGTGTCCATGGCACACAGGCTCAGGTGTCTGACTCCCACAGGTGTCCATGGCACACAGGCTCAGTCATCTGATCCCCCACAGGTGTCCATGGCACACAGGCTCAGTCATCTGACCCCCACAGGTGTCTGTGGTACACAGGCTCAGCCGTCTGACCCCCACAGGTGTCCATGGCACACAGGCTCAGGTGCACATCTACAACACAAAATCAATGTGAAAAAAAAAAAAAAAACGAAGGCGAGCACGTGTCAGACATGGCTAATAGATCGTCTGTGGAGATGCTGGGCTAATGGCTTATTAGTCTCTTGGCCCAAAATAAAATATGTACCACATTTCCAACATGACAGCTGAATTAGAAGAGAGAAAACTGGAACGCTAACATGTTGCAATGAAGTTAGAAGATGTTAGTTTAATATATGTAAATGTATTCATGGCCTCCAATAGTTACATAAACATATGCTAGAAAAACATTGGTTGACAGCAGCTTTGATTGGAAAAAAACAACCCTGACGGTCCATGAGCCTGCTGTGAGCCAGGGCTGAGCGTGCACTCCAGGCAGCCCTGGTACCATTGGGAAGTCTAGGCTCAGGTGTGTGCTGGTCCCCTCTGAACTGGGATATACAATCACCTTACACCAGACATTGACCCCATTTCTCTACGTCTCACTTGCATGTGGGAGCTGGTTTAGAATTCCAAGGTGCACAGACTGCCAGATGGGCCTGGAGACAGTCCATCCAGAGAGAACAGGCGAGGAGAGAATGCCATAGCGCCACCATCACCATAGTCAATGCTTGCGGTGTTTATTCTCGTCCAGGCTCTGCCTAAAGCACGTTAGTTGTATAAATGAATACACAGGAACACTTTCGGGATTATTATTATTGTTGTATGAACACAGTCCGCTTAATTGGTGCCTGCGGACCCGAAACGCCAGGAGACTGAGTTATGTCTGCCAGGACAAAGCTGCCAGGCAATGGGGCTGGCACTCAGGCTGGTGGGATGTCTCAGATCTGGGACTGACAGCAGTGTGCTGCCTCCTGGCTGTCTGA